GGAGGAGGCACATTTGCGTTTTCTCTTACCCTCCTGGGGGGTGTGTCCTCATTTGAACTCATTTTATTTTCGCCTGACTTCGAATTTTGCTAAGTTGTGGGGCTTCCTCTTATTCTTTTTCAAGAATAAATCATTTTTCAAGGGGGTTGCCTAAATGTTCTTCAGTAAGTTTCCACCACAAGGTTGTTCGTGGTTATACTGTGGTTTCCCACAGACGGCGCCAATCTGTTGACCCCAAAAAGTGTTGCCAACAGATACCGGACCCACCCGCGCACACGTGAGTGAAGGTCCTACACGCTAAGACACGTGGACCGTCTGGAACGAACCTCTTTAGGGATGTGGGAGTAGCTCAATGACGCGGGACGAGTACGTTCGAAATCTGACGGGAAGTTCGTAATCCGATTGTACAATAATTACCAATTGGTGTTCATGAATGTGAATGTAAATATGCATATACTTGTATTGTGTTGTAAGACAATATTAAAGAGAGAGTAAAGTGTAGTTTCTCGTATTGATTCTTGCATTATACAGAGGAAGTATTTATAGTGTTACATGTAAAATGACAGCCCTTAAATGAGGTAGCACGTGACCTCATCTCCTTAACTCAAACATCCAATCCTAGGCATCATCCTCAACTTGCTAGCTTGCTGCGCATTTATTGCTCGTGCAGAACCCCCATACTAGTGATAAGACTTGACATATGCACTCATGACAAACGTTTCATCAATCATTCAAACGAAATCTTTATGTAAATCTCTTGGGAGAGATGATTATGGAAGAAGTTCCTTTATGGTTCGGGGGCTTCTGCTGCTCACATATTACTTCCCTTTCAGGGCTTCAAAAATATCCACAGGCCTCGGCATATGGAGTTCGGCGACATTAAAGGCCTCGGTATATGGGCCTCGATATAAAAGGCATCGGCCATTTAGCCCACTTCGGCTAGAGTGCCACGTGGTTCGGATTGAGTGGGCCAAGTATGACAATACGTAACGGAAGTCTCTATTTAATAGGTCAAAAGATGTGATTCCTCTTCCCAGTTGTAGAAATAGCATATATTCCATTGTAATTGGATTTCTGCTATCAATCTTGAAGATGAAAATTATCTGTGGTAATGTAATTTTGCATTCAGATGCTTAATTTGTGTAAAAGCACCTAAGTGGTGAAATAAGGAATAAATGTATGTAACTTTGATGCATCATTAATTTATGTTAAATTTCTATAGGAAAAGGACATGCTCCCCTCATCCCATTTATATAGGCTTGTTTTGTTTTTCACACAAATTAAAAAATCTTAATTAATGTTATTGAAAAGAACAATGTTATAAGTACAAATTTTTTAATAGATTTTGTACAGAAAGATAGTTGTCTTCCTGTAATTGATTATTGCCAAAAACAATTTCTGACAACAGCAAATCATAGGATGAAGCTGTCTTTCCGTATCAATTCTATTAAAAAAATTTGTACTTGCAGATTAATTGTAGTTTACCCCTAATTTTCAACAACTATAAGTAAATTATTATTGGAATTAGTATAGAATTTGAAAATTGATTTCAAGAAGTAGGCAAATTAAGTGGGAAAAATTGATTGTAGCTAGACAGATTAAATAATAGTATATCAGTAAAGGAATAAAACAAAAATATTCTAAATTAAGAAATAGGACAATATATTTGAGACAAGAAAAAAGAAAATTGAGCCTCTATAAATGGTACGGAGGAGTAATATTTTAACTTTCGTAAATTTTGTTGGAGAAACCATATCATTACTTCTTTCATTAATCTCTTTGAAAATTACAATCCAAAGTCAATACTCATGTCCAATTCGCAACAATTATTACACTCGAAAGCCAAGAATGCTAAAACACAATAAGTGACATAGAAAGAATCGAGACATGAAAAAATGGCAAAAAATCAAGAGATTTTCCCATTAATAATATCAAATCTATACCATTAAATGTGTTATTATTAGCACCTTACGTACTACACGACCATCCAACTAGTCCAAGGATAAAAATCGATCATAAAAACTTCTACCTTTTATAGTAATGCCATTATCATCAATCAATGCTCATGAATAGTGTGATTCATCTTTTCAAGAGGGGGTGTTCTACATTCTTTATTTCTCCCTTATCAATTTTCATTTTCCTTTTCTTTCTTATTCTTTTATCATTAGCACCTTATGTACAACACGTCCATCCAACTAGTCCAAGGATAAAAGTTGATCATAAAAACTTCTACCTTTTAGAGTAATGCCATTATCATCAACCAATGCTCATGAATAGCATAATTCATCTTTTTGGGTGTTCTTCTTTCTCTATTTTTTCCTTTTCAATTTCATTTTCCTTTTTATTCTTTTATTTCTTAATTAATAGTTAAGGTTAAAAAAAAATGTCACATTTAAAAAGATATGCCATTTTTAATAAGGGTACTAATTATACTTGCCCTACAATTTTTCTACTAAATTTTAATTGCATTATAATTTATAAGCTCCTCAGTTTTTTCTCATTATAGCTTTTATGTTCTTAACTTTTTTCAATGCATTCTTATCATCAACTTGTATTAATTTAGCACATCCCATTTCTAATAAATAGAAAAGTATGACAAAGCATTTCCTCTCATTTCTAAGAACAAAAGCAGAAAATTTTGACAAAAGCTATAATCAAAGACGAGATGTTTGGATTAATCGAAAGTTGAAGATGATAATTCGACTAAAAAAAGTTAGGAATTTAAGGGCTTGCTTGGGACTTGGGAGTTTTCTTAACTGATTTTGAACATTTTTGCATGGCTCCATGTATAAGATGTTAGGAAAAGCAATTCTTGTTAATATTTTCATGCACTATTTTAGGTCATTAGGTGGTTTAAAAACCATCCACGATCCAACACGAGTGTAGTATAATTTTGGTCATATATTTCAGCCCACCAATTCGGTGGTTTTTGATCGTTTTTCAAATTTTCTTTCAATTTTACCCTCTTTAAAACAATTAGTTTACAAGACAAAATCCAATTATGTATTAAGAAAATAATTGTTTATAGATACAAAGTACATTAACTAAAAAAATTACTTATCACTTGTAAGATAGAAATTCACATTTATGTAAAAAGTTGCTTAAAAGTAAATATTACTAATAAGCAAAAAATCACTTATCAAGTGTAAAAAGTCATTAGTAAAATTTTAATTAAGTGTGAAAAATTAATTATAAGTATATAAAATAACTTATAATAATAAAATTTACTTATAAGTAAAAAATTACTTATAAATTTAATAAACTACTTATAAGCAGAATATCACTTATGAATATAAAATTTCATACAATGGTTATAAATTGAAAATTTCACTAAGTTTCCATATCGTTGACAAATACCTACTTTTCTATATATACACATATAGTAATTTTATTCTTTAAAAAAAAAAAAAACTTTTAGAATTACTGAATAATAAACTTCTAAATATGTGTTGGACTATTTTAAAAAGCGCTATTGAAAACTACAAGAAATTGGACTTCACATAAATGCCCAAAATCGACATTTTAAATACCCCCAAAAACTCCCGACTAGGCCCTAATTTTGGGATCATATACTCTACGTGTGAAAAGTTGAGGGCCTATGCTGCTATTTTTCTAATTTCATATTCCTTTACAATTTCTTATTATGGTTTTGAACTAAATTTGGTAACTATAGCACTACAGTTTTGTTTGTTGTTTAACATTTTTATTAGAATGAAGTTTTCTAGTCTCATTATTGCACTTATGTTCCTATCTTCTCCTCATTGCATCTTTATCTTCATCCACCGATATCTTGTCATCAATAATAGTTTTTATCTAAAAAAATCGTTGCAAGGACAAAAAAACACATTTACCCCTTTAATTATAAATAAGCAAAAAAACCAATGAATACAAGGAAAATTTGCATATTTGATCCCAATCTTTCAAGAACAATCATAGTCTATTCTCAAACTTTAAAAATGGTACCAATTATCCCAACATTCAAGTAGATTTAAAATGTCTTTGAAAGATTGGGGGATCAAATATGCAATTTTCCCTAAATATAAAAGTTGGAAAGAATATATATCCCTCATTTCAAATGATGTACCAAAATATTTGGAATGAAACCATCATCAATGACGTAATGTGCTAATTAATTGTAGGTTAAGAATTAGCATGCGACAAAAAAGTATGTGATATTAATGTGATTGTGAGCGAAAATTGATGACATTTACTGAAATAAAAATAAAGTGCGCAATGAATTGAAAACTCAATATCTCGATAGTTGCATATCATAATCATTCCAAGATAGAGTAGCACAACTGAAGAAAATGAGAGATCCAACAGTGAAAAAACTTTGATATTGGAGCCAATACTTGCACTTCATGATTATGCTGATTATGCACCACTCTTCCAATATTGTAATCGTCATTGTCCCACACAAAAGCCGTATCCACATTTAACTTCGTCCTTCGGTCGCTGAAAACATCTATGTTGAAATGTAACAGTAGAATTGGTTGGCATGTGGAATGATTTAGCGAACTGGAACACAAGTAACTAACTTGTTCAATTCTACACCAGCATAATGTCAATAATGTGATTTATTAAGAGTAATAGTGTTGCGTTTTTTTCAAAATGCCTGAGATGTAATCATGAACAACTCGACGTCTTCATCGGAAAAGGCAATCACACGCAGGAAGGATCATGTCAACGGTTTGTTAGTAACACCGAAGAGTTCAGCATGCTCTTTCGAAAAAACCCTAAACCTCTCCTGGGAAACTTTGCTAAAAGAATAAAGTATGAAAAATATTTTCTTCATCATCCTCACATCGAACACAGATAACCATCGCAACAATACGTCGCCTTCGGACATTAACACAAGATTATAGAATATTCATAAAATCACGCTAGTTAAAGAATTTCGAGAGATTATTACTTTTTCCATTAAAAATTCCAGCAACATAATCGATGATTCAATAAGAGAGCTACATAAAGACTTAGCCAACTACCATCTTGATCCAATTATCACATTACAGAATTGACTAAAGCCCGATACAAGCCCAAAATAAGGTGTTTATAACCCAATTGAAAGCAAAATCTTTTCGGCGTCATCAACAATTGCATAAAGCTATAGAAGGGGGCAACTGGCTTAGGGTTGCACTACAAGTTGACAACAAATTACTGTGAAGGAGAGGAGTACGGAGACGTGTCCATCACCGCCTTGGCACCGATTTGATTTGATCTTGTGTTGCAGTGATTTGTACGAGGAAGGTCATAATCTTCATCAACAAACCAAATTTGGAAGGTTATATCAGATTTATTTATTTATTTATAAACATGCTTTAAATCTATTAGACTTTATGATTTCGCACTTGATTTGATGGTAGTGAATGATTTAATTACAACACAACCTTGATCTAATCCTGCTGAGTTACTATTGTCAGTTGCACGGGAGGGGGCCGATCCTTCTTTTCTTCCAGCTCCTTGGAATTTATTTTTTCTGAAATTGTTGTTTCCTGACGGTATTATTCCTTACACAACAGCAATTTTCTCAACAATATCTCTCTTGTATTTTTGTTGGGGTTGTTTATGGTATTCTCCTCACCTTTAGAGTCGGCCGCCCCTTAACGGTGAAATATCCGGGACCGAAATCAAGTTAGGGCAAACCCCAGGTGGCTCCGCCTCTGTTAGCTTCTTTTATCTTTCTGTAACTAAGATGTTCAAGTTGGGTCACCTTCTGCGATGGAGATGAACTGCCAGTTGAATAGGGACAGTGGGAAGATTTCCCAAACTTGCAGCATAAGTGGGACCTCGTACAATGATACGGGCCATGGGCATGGAACACCTGGGCATGTGACTGGATGGATGTATATAAATCAAGATGGTAGGATGTGTGGCCCTTATATTCCACAGCAGTTATGCGAAGGTTTGTCTAGTGGCTTCTTGCCGGAGGAGCTCCCCGTTTATCCCATTGTGAATGGAAATTTTGTTAATCCTGTGCCGCTCAAGTTCTTCATTCAGTTTCCCGACCATGTTCCGACAGGCTTTGTTCATCTCAGTGTGGCTATCCCTAGCATAAAAGACACCACGAATGATAACCATAGCCCCAATCAGCTGATGCCAATATCAGAGAATACTGGCGTTATTCCAAACTTGCCACAGGTAATGTGGCTTGCACCCTGAGGATTATACCATTGGAGAACCCATAAATTTGGGGTAGGTGGCCATGCCTCTACCTCAATGATTGTATCTGTTGAAAGAAGTGCACCTTTATTGCTTGGTATTACACATAGTGCTGATATGATCGGTTTCTCTAGTATAATGAAGAAAGAACACCTTTCAAAAGTAAATGAACAAGAAAAAAAAAAGAATTTTTAACACCACGAAGCAAGACTTATCAAGCTTATTTGTCAGCATGTCGTAATATGTTTCTCAGTATTAATTACTGAGCCACATTATAAAGTAACTTTGTGACCAACATATTGTCGGTTGGAGTCACTGTATAGGTATCTGTTGGGTGAGTTACTGAATTTTGACTCTACTCTTAGAATTTTGTCAAAGTCATGTGAGTTATTATTTTTATAAAAACTGTATCTGGGTAAATCAAAATTAGTAGCATTTATGTTTTAAAAGTAAGTGAGGTCTCTTGATCCCATAATATGGGCTCCACCCCCCCCCCCCCCCCCCCCCCCCAACTCACCCCCCCCCGCCCCCCCCCCCCCCCCCCCCCCCGAATATTACTAATTGACTGTACCATGAAAAGAATATCTGCTAAAAAATTTTACTATCTTCTAATTCTTTTTTTATTTTTTATTTTTATTTTAAGCTCCTTGAATTACAGCCAGGAGATGAATCTTGTTGGTTGTTTGAGGATGAAAAGGGGAGTAAACATGGACCGCATTCTATTAATGAACTTTACTCATGGTGTCACCATGGATATCTGTGCAATTCACAAATGGTAATCTATCTGGCAAGCTCAATTTTGGAATAATTCACAAAAGAAATGAACGATCATGTGTGATTTATGTGCTTCCTGTTGTGACGTGCCATTGAAATTCTCTGCTCTATAGCATATTAGAATGAATTTGCTCTATTTTTGGAAGATAATTTTCTTTCAACTGCGGGACGTGTTTTATATGTCTATATTGAGAAGTTACTAAATCGATATTCATGCTTCCTGTATTATTCGGAATCTGTTTTGATGCTATACAGTTTTTGCAGTTATGTTTACGGTTGATAAGCTTGGAATAAGTTGGATTTGTGGCATTTTTTGGCCTGATGAACTATTCGAAGGAGTAATTTCTGTATTATATTACACTGACCACGGTTCAATATGAGAAAATAGATACTTGTGGATATTAGGTCATCTTTTGTATTATGTAGAATAATAAAAATCTCAAGGCTTTTGAAAAGGAGGAGGTCATGAGGGACATTAAAGTCATCTTTCCTGCACACTTTTTTTGTATATATTTGTGGAGTTATTATACTTATTGTAATTAGTTCTATTCCTTGGTTGAAATAATGATTGGATGAGGATTCGGTAATCGGATGAATTTATTATTTGTCCTGAGTACATGGACACATCATTCATATGCTTTATCAATATTTATGTACTTGTATTGAAAAAGACAAAAATAAATTGCCTACTTTCTCTGCCAATATTATAACCAGGTCAAATTTTCCTATAATCTCAAGACAAGTTTGACTGCTGCTGGTCTTTCCAATTGTTGCTTGACTTGTAAACAAACTGTGAGCACCATCAAATCTTTTGTCTGTCTGACTTTGACGAAGTAATGTTATTCTTTGCCATAAATAGATGTATTCTCGACTTTGACATTTGATCACTTGGATTCTTCTAGCTTCTGTGCATCTTTATGCTTATGATTGGTATGAATCATATTATTTATTTTCATGTTCGGTTATTTGTGATTTTTACTGTTGTATCTATTTAGTCTGCTTTCCTTTTTGACTTCGGTAAAAACTCCATAAAAGCACTTTTCGAGCCATATGATTGCTTATGCTGCCATCATGATGAATTCATGCAGATATATCATACTAATAATAAGTTCAAACCCTTACGCTTGCAAGCATTGCTAAATACTTGGAGAACACCTGGACTTGGAACTGTGTTAGATGCTGAAGGCCAGGATACTGTCTCACTGCCCAACTTAGTGTCTGAGATTTCTGAAGAATTTTGCTCCCAGCTTCACTCTGGTGTCATGAAAACTGCCCGTAGGACTGTGCTAGATGAGATTGTTAGCTGCATAATTTCAGAATGTCTCGACAAGAAGAAATTTCAGAAGAATTATAAGGTTGAACCGGTCCATCAATCTGTCAAAATCTGCTCTTCGGATGGCAAAATGGTATGTGTTTAAATGTTAAAAGGAAAATGATCAGCTTCAGTATAGCTAACAAAATTTTTTTGCACTGTTTTATGTGACAGTTTGAAAAGTATCTTGAGAGTAAAGATTATGTTGCTGTCGATGACGTAGAAGTGTGTAGCACCGTTGAAAAGATATGTTCTATTGGTGAAGCACCAATTAGACCTCCTTCAAGCATGAAATCCATTGGAAACTACGAGAACTTTTGCAGCACATATATGATTATTTGCAGGACATTTTATGATTCATGTTTGCAACTCATGTGGAATGCTGTCTGCTATGATACTGTGGCAGACTATGTTTCCACTTGGAGAAGAGCCAAACGCTGGTCCTCTCCTGTTTTAGTTGTTGAACCAGGCAATCCACATAAAAGGTTCTCTGAGCAGACTGACAGGATACCTGCTGATGATGTAAGTTATTGATGTTTATGATATGCTCTGTTGAATTATTGTATGTATCTCTGTTTGAAGTTCTATTTTTAATGGCTACACAGCTACTACACAAACAAGATTCTTTGTGCCCTTTGGAAGATTGTCCGCCCGGATTTGGACCGGTAAGTATGGCACTGGATGTACAATCGCAGTCAAAGTTTGAACCAGGCAGTCCACATAAAAAGTGCTTTGAGCATATTGCAGGGCTACCTGGTGGTGATGTAGGCTATTTACGTTTATGATATTTTCCGTTGAATTATTTGTATATATTTCTGCCTAATTCTAAAGTTCAATTTTAATGGCTGCACAGCTACTACATGAACAAGATTCTTTGTGCTCTTTGGAAGATTGTCCACCCGGATTTGGACCAGTAAGTATGGAACTGGATGGACAATCATTGGATGTTGGTTATTGATGTTTATAATATGTTCGATTGAATTATTTGTATTATTTTATGTCTAAAGTTCAAATTCTGACATCGTCACAGTTGCTGCATGGGCAAGATTCTTCCTGCTCTATGGTAGATTGTCCGCCTGGATTTGGACCAGCAATTAAAGCACTGGATGTCCAATCTCGGTCACAGCTTGAACAAGGCAGTCCACATGACAGGGGCTCTGATCAGATCGAAGAGCTACTTTCTGATGTAGGTTATTGATGTTTGTGATATGTCTGTTTTATTTGTATTTGATTCTGTCTAAAGTTCGATTCTTATTGTTTTACAGCTACCACACGAACAAGATTCTTTGATATCTCCGGTAGATTGTCCGCCCGGATTTGAACCTAGAACTATGGCAATGGATGTAGTGTCGCAGTCACACTTGGTTTCTTGGTCGTCTTATAATGAAAAGAAGTCGTATAAGACAAAATTTTTAAATGCCAGCAATCTTTATGGCGTCAGGGAATACATCTTGGAAAGTGTATTGAATGATCTGCATTCATCAGCAAAAGGATCATTAGTACAGTATCTTGAAAACCTTGTGGATGAGGAAGTGAGGAAAGTTGTCCATATTTCAAATGATACTTTCAAGGATGAGGTATTAGCCACAAGCTACTCTTCAACATAAGCCCCACCCCACAAAGAAAAAGAAAGAGAAGAAAAAAAAAAGGAAAGATCCCTTGGAATTAAGATATTTGGGCCACCAGTTCTGTCCTGATTCTTTAGGGAATTTATGAGTGAGATTCAGTATTATAACCATATCTACTGTTTGATTTTTGATTGAAAAAATATTATTAGTCTTTGCAGGTTTCCGCAGACTCCTACCTTCATTACAATCATACAAGTGGCCATGATTCTTCAGGAGCTGTTGATGGTTCAAAATCATTATCATCAGATGATCTCCAGATTTCATCGCACTTAACAGTACCGTCTAGTGGGAATACCATTAACAATCTTGATGTTTCTACTACACCTTTCTCTAAGTGTGCATTTCAGAAATTGCCAGTCCATTCAGACCATGCAAATACTTTTGAATTGGATGAACTGTGCCCTCCTCAACCTGAGAAAAGTTTGGAACATTATGTTCCATCACATTTCTCCAAGGGTGTATTTCAGAAATTGCCCGTCCATTTAAGCGATACATGTAATATGGAAGTTCTTGATCAATTGCGCCCACCTCAGCTAGAGAAAAATATGGAACATTGTGTTGCATCGCAAAATTGTCAATTACAGTTGGTTAAATTGGATGAGTGTACCTCCAATGTCAATTTCCAAGTTGCATTGATGATGAGCCAGCAGAGAATCCACGACAGTTTGCTGAGTAAATTGAAGTTGTTGTTGGTTGATGATGCCATTGAGAAAGCACTAAAAATATGGTGTTCTTCAAGGAGACATGAATCATGCCGTGATAAGGTAGTTTTTCACTGTTATGTTTATATTGGTTACAAATTCCTGTTTATGGTGATTATATTAACTACTCTATAGTAAAATGAATTTAGTTAAAATTTTTGCTTCCTTCTTTACTTGATTTATCAGGGTGCAGCAAATAGAATAAGCAAAGAGAAACCTGATAATAAGGAGAGATCCTCCAAGTCATCTCTACTAAACGGAAGTTATATTTGTTACCGCAAGAGAAAGTTCGGTGAGAAAAAGTCCGGGTCCTTTTTTGAGTCTCTCATTGCAGGAAACATTGTTTCCCAAAAAGAATCTATTGAAAAATCAAACAAAGGTAATAGTCTCAAAAATGTTTCTGGGAGCAAAAAAGTTAAAAATACGCTTCTGAATCATCCAGAGAAGACGCGGACAGAAAATCAGAGTAGAAAGTCTTTCGTTGATGCTGATTTGCTTGGGTCAAGTTCACCGTCCCTCCATATTCCCAATAGAAAGTCACAAAAAGTCGCTGATGTTAAAGGTGCTTCATTCTTCCAAATAATAGTTCTGTAGTCCGCAAGTTATTTTCAGACATTTGAAAATGATAATATCACGCATTACTAAGATATTGATTTGTTTTGAAGACAAATCAAGTTGTAGGACACAGAAAACTTCCTTTTCCCCTGTGGACCAAACTAATAGTGAGAGGATCACCAATGAGAAGAGCCGGGGATCGGACATACTGGAAATTCAGGCTACAAATTGCACCAAAAAAGCATCAAAATGTGAGAGTTATGTTTTTGTTTTTCTCCTGTTCAATAATCATTTGCCAATTTTTTTTATCCCTGTTCTAGTTCAAATACGTTACGTAAGTTTTGTCTGTCATCTGTTATATTCTTTCATGCAGCGACTAAGGTTACAAAACTTAAAAGGAAGGAACCCATTGATGATGCACCACCAGCTAGATCTAAAAAAGTTCAGAAACTAGCTAATAGCTCCACCAAGCAAACAGCATGTAAAAAAATTGTTGTACAAAAGATCAAAAGAAGTAAACCTAGGCCAATGAGACCCTGTCCCCAATCCGATGGTTGTGCTCGTTCATCTATTGATGGTTGGGAATGGCATAAATGGTCTCTTAATGCAAGTCCTGCTGAAAGGGCGCGCATAAGGAGCATATATTTTCGCTCTCAACATATCAGCTTAGATGGTAATGGTCTTCAGCTGTCAAATGTTAAGGGACTCTCTGCTAGAACAAATAGGGTCAAGCTACGCAATCTTCTTGCTGCTGCTGAGGGTGCTGATCTTTTGAAAGCGACCCAGTTAAAGGTAACAGAAAGGATGTGATCCTCATGCTCTTTATTATTATTATTTATTTATTTATTTATTTTTTTCTGCTTTTTGTGATTTGTAATTTGGCAAAGTCTATTAACAGGCAAGAAAAAAGCGTTTGCGCTTTCAAAGGAGCAAGATACATGACTGGGGGATTGTAGCACTGGAGCCAATTGAAGCAGAGGACTTTGTCATTGAATATGTTGGAGAACTTGTTCGTCCTCGCGTAAGCACACCGTTTCTTTTTTCTTACTAACTTTCATTTTGGAATAAGTAAAGAGGTTTTCCCTCATAGTTATATGAGTATGCTGTTTCAGTCTCTTAGACTAAAGCTATATCCTTGTCTAGTGCTTTTATACTCTCTCTCTCACCGATTCTCTGTTTTTTCACTTTTTCTTCATCTAGCTTCTCTTTTATTTTTCTTCTTTTGGGTGTTGCTTATTACATACTCGAAAAAGCACATTATTATTTCTCCTGATAAACATTATTCTATGTTTTGTTTCTGTCACTTGACATGGAAATTTCTGAAACTCGGATTCCCACCTAGGTCAAAAGTTATTACCCACGTCAGAGGGGTACCTAGGTGTTATAAATGTTGAAGAACCTTGTAAATACATCTCATTTGGATGCATTAGAAAGCAATTTTCAATATTCCAATAACATAATTCTGTTGGAGATTGGTACGTTATGATCCATTCTATTGTTTTGTATCGGAACTTATTTCTGGTAATTTTTTCGATCTATAGATATCTGATATCCGCGAGCGTCAGTATGAAAAGATGGGAATTGGGAGCAGTTATCTTTTTAGACTGGATGATGGTTATGTGGTAAGTAAACCCAACAAAAGATTTTTTTTCCAGTGTTTGGATTACTTGTGAATGGAATTTAAGTTGTTAATGGATTTAGTTGTAGGTCTTATTTGAGGGAGATTCTTGTAAGCAGAACTTGAATGATATCATCAGCAGAATTCCAACCTCTAATGAGATCAAATCTTTTGTATTCCCATAAAGCGATGCTAATTGTAATACTGTTGGTTCTGTTTTCTAACATGTTTCTAATGGAGCTGAACAACTTCTATGAGTGGACATTTTTGGATCTAACCAAGATATGCTCCAATCACTTAAGTAGTAGTTCTTTTTATTATTATTTTATATTGGTTCCGCCACTTATTATCTTACATGTTCTTACTTTATACATTTTATACAGCTGGATCTTGACTTCTTCATTTCCGGCAAGTTTATCTTATGGACATTTTGTTACGAATGTACACTTATTACTCTAAAGTACAAGTAGCCTAATAACTGTTCTCTAGAACTTGTTCTTTAACTCTTGGGGTTTTCTCTGATTGCCCAAACCCTTTAGCACTTTTTTCCTATCCCAATTGCTCATACTTAATTCAAGTTACTCATTAAACCATTGATCCTAAATACCTAAAAAGGTGACTCTTCAGGATCACATGATCCTCGACTATTAGTCCAGTATTATCATCATCATTTCCATGAGTCTATGACTAAAATGATTTTATTTTAATTCATCTTAGGTTCATGAAACTTAAAATTTTTAAATTTCAAATTCTCCTCCGTTCTCTATTTTAACCTTTTGTTAGAGTTGGCTAAATTTCCTTTTAATCTAGATTGATACTCTGCTCGTTTTTTTGTTCTAATTTTGAGTTTTGAGATGTATAAAAAGTGTCAGATGATTTGACAACGGTATCTGCTAGGAGTAAACGAATATAATTGAAAAAGAGAAAATGAGAAATAATGTAATGTATTTGCTGCAGGTTGATGCCACAAAGCGTGGAGGGATTGCTAGATTCATAAACCATTCTTGTGAGGTAATCACAGCTACATTACGACTATGTGGCACGGAGCAATTTCTGCATGGCTTGTCATTTTCAAATGAGATTATGATGTTAATTTCAATGCAGCCCAATTGCTATACCAAGGTCATAACTGTCGATGGTCAGAAAAAAATTTTCATATATGCGAAGCGGCATATAGCTGCTGGTGAAGAAATCACTTACAATTACAAGTTTCCATTGGAGGAGAAAAAGATACCTTGCAACTGTGGTTCTAAGAGGTACTATGAATTGTAGTTATTGCTTTAGTGTTAGATAGCATTTTGAGTAGCCCTATCTTCCACATAATGAAATAATTCTTGATGAATTTGGCACCAAAGATAATATAAAAGTTTTGCTGGAACTTTGGCATTATGTGAACTTTTCACTCCTTGACCTTCGTTTTTGTATTATCTTCCATTTTCTAACAATTGCTTTAGGAAAAAAACGCATTGAAGCATATTTAGGAGAAAAGCGTGATCTCCCAGACTTAACCTGTGGTTTCCAATAAAGTTAAGGCGGTTCTATTTTGAGGTTTTTGAAACCATGGGTTGTCTTCTTTAGTTGCTTCATGTTAGAAGTGCAGGAATGTGTGAAATGATATGTTTGCCCTCGCCAAACGACATAGTTCTATTCAGACAAGAAAAAGATTTTCCTTTTTGTTTTGTTACCAAGATTATCTTTTTGTTAGAAATCCTTGTTAAATACAAAAATGATAGGGCAATGAAATTCGCTCTAAATACAGAGTATAAGGTGCCACAAATTTATTGTTGAGATGAACTGAAAACAAAAGAAGCATGGTATAATTTTTTCATCCACTGAAACGCTGTCCTAGATCTGCATGTCAGTGTGGATATATACTTCAAGATTATGCTCTCTAGTGAGAAGTTTTCGTCCATTATATTGCCAACTCCTTAAAACCCCCCTCCCCACCCGTCTCAATCCCTCCCCTCTGGAAGAACGAAATAAACTGACTCCTTACCAACTTTCTCTTTTAGGTGTCGTGGGTCATTGAACTGAGAAGCCAAATGATTGTCTTCTGGTAAGTTCTATGGATCTACCTTTTCCGATCGATGGCAAACCTTTTTGTTTTCATCTATTTCCTTGTATCCATAAGTTTCTTGTAACTGCAGATTTCCAACTAGAGGTGCCACTGAAAAGAAGCTCTTTTCCCAGGTACTTCCTCACTACATTTTCATTGTTTCCTCGTCAATTTTCCCTAGATTAATGCTCTAGTAATGCAAAAGATTAGGAAGTAATATTGAACCAAAGGTGGATTCCAGCGCCAGCCATTATCGTCCCAGCACCTCCTCCCACACCCAATCTTGTAATGCTGAAATCAAAAATTGATACGAGTTTTCTACAGAATACCCATTTCTAAATTAAATTGTGACTGAAATTCATTGTATTATTGCAATGATAGTACTGGACATAAATTTATGTGATGTTCATTTCGAAGTTAGAATATAGTGTTAATGCTGTTGAAATATACTAATATGAGCTGAATTTTTTTTCCTGATTGAAATATAGTGTTAATGCTGTTGTATTTTTTTTTTTTCTGTTCTATTTTTTTTCCTGATTTTTTTTCCTCCCTACTTCTGCTTTTGCTGTTCCGTTCTTTTATTATGTTTAGAGTTTTCTCCTGTCCAATCATGGAATCTTTTTATCATTACTGCTTGGTGATTCGATAAAAACTTCCCCTCTTCCAACCCATAGGTTTTGCGTGAAATAATGTTCTCTGTTTCCTGTAGGTTGACATCGAAGCATTACAATTTTGGAACTCCGAGGTTCCAAGTTCTGTGGCTGAAAGTTGTCTCAAGGTTTTTCGACTTGCAGCAAATTTCCGCTGACAGTTATCACTTTTATTTTTCATCACTCAGTTGAAGCAGCAAATGCCCTGTTAGTCTTACCTAAATTATTAAAATTTCTACTATGCATGCACATTTAATTAACAGCAATTGTTTATTTAATTGACTCGGACTTTTTAAAATGGCCTTGTCCCATTTTTGTTATAACTTGTGCATTAGATGAAATTCTTAAGGTGAAATGAAATATTTTTGCTCGATAAATTGTGATAGTAAGAATTACAATTAAAAACTATTAAATCTTGGGTAACCCTAGTTGGGCTTAATCAAATAATAAAATCCACTCTTGGAGAAGGAAATGAAAGCCTGTAAATTATCTTATTTGTTAATTTAGGAGACAAGAAAATATAATATTGTTGAAACCAACACAGCTATGGGGTATACTTGATTCAGATTTATGATTTAAGCTGCACAAAATTTATATATCCTTTCATTCCACCAAAGTAGAATCACGTTACGCTGATCATATTAGTTCTCATTGAAACTCGCTTATTAAATTATCAAAGTAGGATCAGCTTATACTGATCATATTAGTTCTCATCGACTCTCGCTTATTAATTTATCAAATTAGGATCAGGTTATTCATCTGGATTCACGTGGAGTCGTAATGATGAATATTTTATCTTACTTAACCCTAGGATGGCTTGCTCAAATCATAAAATCTGCACTTGGGCAAGGAAAAGAAAGTCTCTAGTTGTCTTATTGATCAATTGAAAGGACAAGAACATGATTTTTTTAAACAAATGATCCTGTGATATACGCTTGATCCAGATTTTGTCTTATGAATTAAGCTACACAAAATTGAAATATCCTCTCAATATACCGAACTAGGATTAGGTCCAACGCTTGATCCAGATTTTGTCTTATGAATTAAGATACACAAAATTGAAATATCCTCTCAATATACCGAACTAGGATCAGGTTTATATGGACCAGATTAGTTCCCATTGAAATGAGCTTTAGAATATACCAAGAAAGAATTAGGTCATTTATGTGGTTTCACAAGGAATAATAATAAAGAATATTATATCGTAACCCCAGTTTGGCTTAATCAACTTGACCCTAAGAAAGTCTGAAGTTATCATATTGATCAGTTGGAAAGACGAGATATGTTTTTATTTATTTATTATTAATTTTTTTTGGGTTGAACTCGAAGCTGAAGTTTCTGGGTTGAAACTCATGATCAAGATTTTGGCCTTTATTGAGCTACTCAAGATTTAAATATCGTGCCAATTACCAGACAAGAATTGGAAGAAAGATTTCTTTGTAGATGAAGGGATTAACAATTTATTCCACACAAAAAATTCAGGAACATGAAGAGTGTCTACCTTGATGGTGGTGGAAGTCATAGCACGTCTCCTGATTATCCCAAGTTGGATAGATGGCCTTTGTGCAAGAATTATATTGCCTTGGCAAAATTCCTTGTCGGATAGAAAAAGCTATGAAAGAAGGCAGTATTAGTTTCATTTCTTGAATTTCACTTAACCATCCAATTAAAATGAGCTTAAGAATTTAGAGAAGTAGGGCTGAGTCGTTCAACTCGATTCTCATTATAATAAAAATATATACCTTACCAACTTGGATGTAAGTGTTCGATACAGGTACATATCTAGAAGTCTAGATCCTTTTCTTCCCATCTAAATTCTTGGCTTCGGAATATAGCCAAAAATGATCTAAGATTTAGACATGGATACATGGATGTCTTAAAGTTACTTTGTAAATTAATTTAGGGGGGTGTCCTCAATTGAGATTGTGATGGATTTTAAAAGTCATTCTAAATTTAGGTATCCTCAATTGAGATTTTATTGGATTTTAAGGAAATCCATTAAAAGTTAGGTCTTCCCAATTGAGATTTTAATGAAATTCTTTAAAATTTAGGTATCCTTAATAATTAATGGATTTATAAAGATTTCATGAATAGAGGGATTTTAAAAGATTTGGATGGATTTTAAGCTTAAAAATACATATAAGTAAATTTTTTGAAATTTCATCACATTTAATGAGATTCTTATTAAATTTGTAAAAATCTATTCAAATCCACAAAATTCATTAGAATTTATAATCATTTAAAATTCATTAAAATTTTAGTTGAGAACGCCCCTGTAAATTTTAGACGCAACTTTCAAGGATATATAATATATATTTAACTATGAATATATAACAATTGAATTGCATATTCTGCTCCTTCATTTGAAGTCTATAAATGCGAAATGCAAATTAGAAATCATTTTGAATATAATCCCAAAATAACAAAAATGATATAAAGGATCGCATACCTCTTCTCGTGTATGTCCAACACTAGCACTTCTAAATTGGATAGTCCAATCAGCATAGATTATACCTTTACTTAGGTTCCAATTGGCTTTATTAAATCACAAAATCCACAATTGGGAAAGGGAAAGGGAAAGGGAAAAGAAGACCTGAAGTTATGGTTCAATTGAAAAGACTAATCTATGTTCCTGTGTGTTTGTATTGAGATTTGAGCTACACAAAATTTAAATATGCCTTCTCAATTTACCAACCTAAGATCAAGGTATATTGATCATGTTACTTCTAATGTAAACATGCTAAGAATTTGCCTGCCGCTATGCAAGTTTATTTCTAAACGTTGGCTGTAGCTTGAGCACTGAGAACACAAAAATAATGTGGAAGGGGCTTGAGAATGTCAGAGAGATGAAACTGTCTTACGTAATTTAGCTACGCTTCAATAACAATTGTTTGACGAAGTCATATTAATCTTTGGTGTTTAGACGTGAGAATCAACAAATTTTTTTCCTTCCTTTTTCTAACTTAATTTTCTTTTCTTCATTTTGTTAATTTAAAGATTAGGAATTGAATATAATTTTGACCTAAAATGCTTTAGGTATTAGCATGACGAGATGGTGGTTGATATTTGGCACCGGTTCTTGATCCTGCTCATATTATCTTTATAGGTGATGAGAAAGGGGCGTCATAGGCGCAAGGAAAAAGCCCCTCATATGGGGATTTAGTGGGAAAGGGCTGCCAACCTTATTATGACCGTCTAATGAGTAGGTTCCAAAAGGCGCGCTTATTTTTTATTTTAAGGTTAAGTAAACCAATTAAATAAAAGGAAAGTTAAAAAGTAGATTAGATGATGAAGAGATTGAATTGGAGTCCGACAGAGAGTTAAAACTATCTATTTAAATTGTCTCATAGTTGGGGAATTATTAAGTAATTGTAGTATTTGTAATTATGAGATTTTATTTTAGCTAACTTATTTTAATTGCATGCACTAGAGTGATAGACTTGTGTATATTTTAACCTTCAAGGCGTGCATTATTGTATTTATTTAATGGTTAGGCTACTTAAAATAATATTAAAAATAGGAAAACGCCTTATTATGTCTAAGGTTTGCCTCGTCATGCCTAGGCTCATAAATCTTAAAAGTTGACCTTGTCACGCCTTACATAAACTTGTGTAGGATGACATATCGTGAGGTTTTTATTAAATGGTTTTGTCCTGTATCAACACTTGAAAATATTGATCCAATGGTATTTTTTCCCATGCAGGGTGACATGATTTGAAATTTCCACTATTGAGTATTTTGTCCCATGTCACTAATCGAGGATGTCGAATATTGATCCAGCCCCATGGGCATATTTTTGTAGATATATCTAAGTCGCAGATGAGTTTCTCCTCTTAAGAACTGAAATCGGCTGTTTTCATCTTTGCTTTTGGGACGATTTTCAGAATTCAATCTTATGTACAAAATACAGTTGAATTTCAAATATTAGATAAATTATACAACGTGCTTTGTTATCATTCTGGTGGACAGTACTCCAATTTTGTATAGTACGAGTATGTAAAAGATTAATGTGACAATCAACAATATATACTTGAAATTATAAGTTAGAAATCAATGTTGTGGGGTCCTTTTTTTTGCTTATTGTGACATCATATGCACGTGTATGCGTACGTATGTTTTGATGTGGCATTGATCTCTTTTATTTCACACACTCGATGATGTAGTTGTTGGGTTCATAACCCCAGGTGTCGAAACTGTGGATTTACACCTACCAATTATCATGCAAATGTGAGCATACAAAAGCGAAAAGCGGCTTGGCATTTTCTGTGCCATGAACTTTTGTTGAACGGTTTGCATGATTTTGGGCAATCCCCTTGTCATCCAGTGTTTTGGATCTGACGCTGGTTTCACTGCAAATACTTACTTTACATGGTTTTTGACTATAGTTGCCGATTTTACTTAATTGAATATGAAGATACATTGGCACATGTATATATTATATGGATCATTTCTTGCTTGCAGTCTTATTATTAATTGAAAAAAGGGATGGAGCCATAAATTTTTGTTATCTCACGTAGTGTTGTGGTCTTTGAGTATTTAATTTAAAAGATGCAAATTCCAACTATTTCTTTTTTCTTTCACTTCAGATTGCGGAGGAAGAAGCAAACTAGTGTGTAGATATGCAAAATGCTAAGTGGATGTTTTTCGAGGCGTTCTGGTATGTGTCTTCTACTACTTTATATGCCACCGCCTTGCCCCAGGTACACCCATCATCTTCCTCACAGTAAACCCAGCTAAAATTTTTAAGCTTGTTCCGAATATCCATCGAAATTTTTAAAAAATTTCATCGAGGGTAAATTCAAAGAAGCTTATCACAAGAACGGAAACCTCACCCGAACAGGTGTTAAGAAACTAACTTGGATTGCTCAAGTTATTGTCGGTGGTATTCGCCAATGGAATCGAGCCTACATTTAGGTTGGAAGCACTGGATTGGCCAAGTAACTATTGGCACTTGTCAAATGAATCGAGCGTACGTTGAGGTTTTAAGTAATCTCGTCCCTCTTTCTTACTGAGACGGCAACCCATTTGATTTTACTCTGTTATGGCACCTCAATGCACCAGCTCGCAAAAACGCCGTTTCTTCTCAATAGTAAAGAAATTTTTTTAGTGGATTAACACGACCAAATTTTTACTGTGGGTGGAGATATTAGTAGAGCTGGCACATCGGGTTATTTAAAATATGCAGATTTTAGAACTGAAAATGCATCACAAGAAATGACGTAAATCTTACAAATTGGAATAATCCCAAAATTTTTGGCCATTGGCCATGACGAAAGCCATGAGCATTGAAAAGTTGTCGAGCATAATTACAAGTAAAAGATGAGATTATTTTGGACCATCCTTAGCTCAAATGGAAGAGTGGAAAGGGTTGAGCCGAAACTAGGACACGAATCCTCAAATTTCGCTGCCGGTTCGAATCCAGCACTTTGGAAATACTTAATTTTTACTGTTTAATTTTTTAGATTGCTGCTTTAATGTAACTATGAATTTTTGTAACAGCTGCCTTTGAACCATTTTACTTTAGACTAGGAAAGTTGTTATAGGTATCATAGACGAGAGAAGCAGGTAATTTAGTGGGTTTTAGGATTTTCTCTCTGCTTGTCCTTTGATCATGCAACTATGAGGACACGTGAAAATATGGGGGAGTGTAAACACAAATAAACAATAAATAAATAGATAAATAAAAATAAAAGAATAACGAAGTAAGATTTCGTACTTTAAATACAACACGTTGGAAGAATTTTTTTATTTTTTTTTATTTTAGTTCCTAGTATTTATGGGCTCTTGTTTTTTTTCTTGATAAATTTACGTTCGTATATGTCACAATAAAATGATAGGAATCAAACAACTTATTCTGATCCCCAGAACTTTGGTCATTTAATAAAAAAATGTTGGTTATAATGCTTTAATTAGTGATGTTAATCTTATGCAATTACACAAGATAATTCTCATCTCTTTGATCCAAAAGTATATTCAGACTTAAAATCTCTGTATGCTTGTAGAAATGTACACATCATATGCTTAGATGTTTTGAGATTTTCCATTTAACCTATAATTAACTTTTGAAAATTCTAATATTTCAAAAAGAAAACCGTGTTAGATTCGAATTGATAACTTATTAGAGATTGCATTTAGACTCACAAACTTGTGTTGGAATTCAATTCAGTTGACAATGACCAAAAAACGAGATTACTGAATCCCATTTAGGTCCAATTTCAGATTATTGGTAACGTTTCCATGGCTAAAGGTAGAGGTTCAGGGCAAATTTAACACATTTGATGAATGTGAAGTCGTACCTCTTCTCGAAATTAAGAAGAGAAATTTATGTTGCTTTACAATGAAATTGATGTTAGGAAACAACTTTGAAAGTACAATTACTAAACAATTTTTCCACTTTAAATCACAATTACTAATTACCTGGTTATCATGTGTTAGTATTTTGGAATCTCCAATATCATGGCTTCTTTGACTTGTCAAATCTACGTTGACCATTTTAAGGATGACTTGTCATAACCTTAGATTAAGCTTAGGATGATAGCTTCCAATAGATTAAGCCTATAGGAGTTGATCAGTGTTGTCCTCTTCCAATACCGAGTAGTTGCATTCATGTGCCTACTTTGCTGCTTTTTGTTGCTTTTGCGAGCCTATGTTGCTGCATTGGGGTGCCAACGTCCACACTCGTTGCTACATTGGGTTGTCGACGTGTGCTTGCTTTTTCGCCTCGGGCTTCCGATGTGTGCCTATATTGCCTCATTTGGTTGTCTACCTGCATCGAGGTGCATTTGTGTGCCTTTGTTGATATGTCGAGGTGCATTCTTGTGCCATACCTGCATTTTAGTTGCACCGAGTCCATTGGCGAACTTGCATTGTTGCACTTGGATGAATTCCCTTGCCTATGTTGTTGCATTGAGGTGCTAACTTGTGCCTACATTGTGATGTCGCGTGTGCTTGCATTAAGGTGCTAGTGTGTGCCTACTTTAATTGATTAGGGAGCATTGATATGCAATTTCATATTAAGACGTCAACATTGTTAAGAGCAGTAGTAGCTAACGCCTTTTAGTTATAGTTTTTTATATTTAATCAATGTAAGATTTATCCTTTAATAGGTTCATGTAAGATGTTTGCTCGTCTGAAAACCAGTCTTGAAATTCGATAGCATGCTTAAGTTTTACACAGTTCGATTTATCGCTCGATTGAACATTATGGCCTTGATACAATATTAGTTATAGAGTTTTTAGATTAAGTTGTTCAACATGGTAACAGAATATATGTCTTGAGTCAAGTTTCGTCACCACCCATTTAATGAAATTGATTGTGTGATGCTTTGTTTGGAAAAATTGAACCTTGCCTACAAATGAAAGGGGCTTGATTTATCGAAGATAATATTTAAATGATATTTATGTGGTTTTTAGATCAAGTGATTTAACAACACTAGGGTCTCCACGTTGCTGCATTGAGGTGTCATCATATGCCTACATTGGTGTACATTCTTGTGCCTTGGTTGGTGCATTGGCGTGCTATTGTGTGCCTGCGATCCTAGCATGCTGCAATGTGAATTTCATTTCGTTAATAATCTTTTGAACACTCTTTCAAATTTTTTGTTTACTTAAATTTCTTTTTTTTTTTGGAACTCCATACAAACTCATTATTATTATTATTATTATTTTGCTTCGACTCTCTCACGTGATCTCTTTATTTAGTTATTTGCTTAGATTTTCTCTTACATATTGTTTAGACACTTATTATTTTACATATTGTTTAGACAACTATTATTTTACTTTTATAATTACGGATCTAACATGGAACTTCTTCCAATTCATTCTCTTAAGCCACACCGCATTAATATTCTGTCATGATAAAATAAATGATCATTGACGTATTGAAGAGACTTATTTCATTTTTTAAAGGTTTTCAATTACCTCTATATTAATGTAGTTCTCATAATTTTAATTCACTAATTAATTATATATTTCAAAGTAATTCTCAGGGAAAAAAAAAAAAAAGGTATGATTTTCTTTCTAATATTTCTCTTATGGTAAAAAATCTGTACTATATACACAAGTCCAAAGGGTTATATTGCAACCACTATTTTCTTTTGTTCCACAATTTTATTAACGTAAACTAATTAATTAATTAATTAATTATTTTATTTATTTTTTATTCTTGGATAATATACAACTGTTTTTTAAATGTGCACTATAACAACAAAGCCTGTCTTGTACTCTATTTGACTGCAAAATTAATCGCCCACTACCCGCAATGGAGATGATGTCGATTTGGCCAATGATAGCGAACAACTGCAAGGGGGTAAAATGCTTGGTCGATGAAAGGTTAGTATTTATAAGTTTTTGTTCTTTTGTCGTTAAAGGTTGCTTTGTGTGTGTGTGAAGTTTGTGGTTTTTCATTTTCTTATCACCATTTTAGTAAATAGGATAATTGTTTAAGGTTAATTATATTCGCACTATAATTTTTGTTAAGTGTTCCATATTTTAATTATAATGAATATCTCCAAATTTGTTTTCCCTATTTTGCATCTGTGTCTTGAAGATTTTTATTGCATTCTTATCTTTAACCTTTAATTTATTAACACATCTTGTCTTTGATAATTGTTTATGTTCTAATATTTCGTTAGCGTGAGGAAAAATATTTTTTCTAAGTTTTATGTTTGTGATCTATTTACTTAAAGTCCCGTTTGGTAGTCATTTTTTTTCAAAATAAATTTTTCTCTTTCTTTTTTTCAACAACACATTCTTTATTTCTCAACAACACATTTCATATCAATTTACTATTCTAAAATATATTTTTACATAAAAATGTCTATCAAACATCCCTTTAAAAATACAATGGACAAATAACTCTTTTCACTCCATTATTAAGATTTTTTGCTTGACATCTGGGTTGTGGTAACAATTAATAGAAGATTGAAGATAAAAATATGACCAAAAAAAGTAGGGACATCAGTGCAAAAATGAATAAAAGTTAAGAACTTTCACAGCAATTAAATGCAATGCTACTTTTGTTAAAAAGTGTGAAATATAATTAATTAAAGGTGTGGTGCAACAAAAAAGTCGTGGCAATATAACAACCCAAAATATCAGATATTGAAGAAACATTTTTGAATGATAATGTGCTCCCTAATATTTTCAAGGGTTTTGTTATTTGTACACCTGGGTTAACATTCCAGTGTATAGCCTTCTAACAATTGATGGGAAGGGGAAAATCGTGGGCTCCCCATTGTGAGGGCATGTACACCGTGTGTGTATGCATAGCAAAACCCCCATATTTTTAATTCTTAATTTTTTTCTTTTTTGTTAATATAATAATGATGGTTATAATCCTAATTGCCCAAAAATAATAAGAAAACCTATAACCAGAAATATCATGGATAAGGTGTCTGGACATCTCTCATCGGAGGGAGCAAAATTCCCAAAACCATTAAAACCGAATCAGACCGATCCATTAAGTTTAGATTTGTTCCTTCACATAAAAAAAAAACAAAAAAAACAAAAACAAAAAAACATAAAAATAAAATAAAATTGTTTTGGTCATTTAGTGGGTACTCAGCCTGCATCGAAGTTGTATTTTTTATTTATTTATTTATTATTTTATTTTATTTTTGGAAGAATGCGTAATTAAAAAGTAGAGAAATGTTATTGGATCTACGTGAAATTATTTTATTAAGAGAATGTGATTAAAAATAAGTTTGGAGAAAAGATGAGTTTTAAAGAATCTTTATAATATGTGGCAATTCAAAACCTGGGTTGACACACGGGTGTATGCATTTCGGGGTGCGTACAAATAGCAAAACCCTCTATTTTCAATTCTTAATTTTTTCTTTTAGTTAATATTATAATAAGAGTTATAATCCTAATTACCCAAAAATAATAAGAAAAACTATAACAAGAAATAACATGAATAAGTTTTCTGGACATCTCTCGTGGGAGGGGGCAAAATTCCCAAAACCATTGGAACCGAATCAGGTTCATCCATTTGGTTTGGATTTGTTCCTTCACTTAAATAATAATAATTTTGGTCATTTTTGGGGGTTCTTGGCCTGCGTCGAAGTACCTTTTTTTGGGAAGAATGTGTAGTTAAAAAGTAAAGAGAGGTAATTGGATCTACATGTGAAATTATTTTATTAAGAGAATGTATGATTAAAAATGGGTTTGGTAAAGAATTTTAATAAGACATGAGTTCTCTCTCATTTCTATTTCTCTTCATATATTGTTAAAGCCACACCTAATTTCTCAGAGAGTAGGGAAGAATGTAATGCTTTTCGAGAAATTTTAAAATTTCTGTCCATATCCCTTTATGGCGCTTTGTTCTTCCATAATAGTTCCTTTCAATTAGGTAAAAATAGTGTTTGTGATGACTAAGTACTTTGGCATATGAATTTTGTTTTCAGAAAAATTCATTCACTAGTTTTTTCTTTCAGGTTGGATCTATATTTTCAGTTGTCGGAGTTGCATATTTTTGAAACGAGCTAGTAGAATTTTATTTATTTATTTATTTATTTATTTATTTATTATTATTATTATTATTATAATATTTTTTTTATGTATTTGTTTGGTTTGTAATTGTGGTATACATTGTGAAGATTTTGTTTCTGTAAATTTGTGTAATTTGAAAATAAGAATGCCCTCTCAATGTTTTGGTTTGTTTAGATTACATAGGCTTACCAAATTATTTTTCTTATAGAATGAGATTGAATTTCACAACTTTCCCCGTCACTGAAAATTTTAACAGCACAAAAGAATTTGCAATACTATTGATAATTAAAAGTTATTACATTTGTGCTCAATATTTTCTGCTATGAAAATGATGTAACAATTTCCATGAAGTAACAAATTCTACTGAGTGATGTAGAGAGCGAAGTTAGCAAGTAGACAGGTACTTGTGCACATTTTATTGATTATTAAGATAATTAAAATATACTTAAATTACAATAATTCAAATGAGTGATAGTTATATAGGTCTTAGTCAAGTTGAAATATATACTTGTAGATATTGATGCATCTTGTTCTAAAGTTTGGCTATTTGTCGAAGTGTACAAATTCTTCTAAATCAAATAATTTCTGAATTTAATTTGGAAAAATTGCAAAGAATAATGATATTTATACATAATGAGTTAAATAATGGTTTACATATAGATAAGATGTAACAATGAGAGTGTGAAAGTTTATTGTTATTAGTATTTGGTTGAAAAAGTTTCAACTCAATTACATTTTACCACATTATATGTATGTAAATTATTATGTGTATGTAGTATAATTGAATTGTAAAATCTGTAAGGGCCACACCCCTGACATGGGTCTTACAGTGCCCACAATTTTAGAGAAAAATATTTGAGTAGTGCTGTTTGTACATAATCATACATAGATGACATGGAATAGAGAGAAAAAAGAATAGAAATTTAGTTATTATAATCCCTCTCTTTTAGTCATCATTATCTAATCATTATGTACAAATAACATTATTCAATATATGCTTTTATGTTTCCATTATTAAAAAAAAAAAATATTTTTCTCAAGAATTTGTGTGTTTGGTAATTAATTGTCTCCCCAATAGCATATAAACAAGGATAAAATATGCAATAAACTTGATCTTAAAATTAGATATATCATTTTTCAATCTCTTGGATATAGTTATTCTCTTTTCAAATTACTGGCGAATGCATGTTCGTTGCACATGTAGTGAGTGATGTAGTGTAAGTAAAAATGTTGGATTTTGGTTTTGTGAAATTGTAGTAGAAAATGAAACTTGCTTTGAATGAAGGTTACATTGGATTATATAAACAGATCATAATCAGTATACTTAAGATGTGTACTAACTGTGACTTCAATGTAATTGTCAATGTATTCTATGGTTTACTTGGGGTTCGATTGCCTAGTTTGCAAAAGCGTTTGAGGTCTTCAATCTGAATGGAAGAACAAAATTAATTGTACGGAATCTTCACTGAATTTAGCTATGAAATTAACTATTGGCATGACATTCATCTACTTTGATTTTCTTCCAGCATACGAAGAAATAATAAGTTAGCTCAAAAAAGAAAATATCAATGGTAAGATCATACGAAATTTATGTCCATGCATTCCCTTACATAACCAAATCCACCTTACTGAAAGAAACTCTGATGTTATAATGAAACAAAGAAAGTTGGAGAGACATAATATCGTGCAATTGGAGGCATAATATTCATGTCATGACACAATATTACTCCCTATGATTAGTAAGTGCAAACAAAGAAAGTGTTGAAAACCAAATATAACAGCTGAAGCAAGATAGACGATATTCTTGAAATCCTATAAATACTTAATACATGCTGCAAAATGCAACCATTAAGAAGAGTAATAGTAGTAGTATGAACAATTACTTACAAACTTGACCTAAAACCACCGCAAATGAATGATTTTAAGGCTCCGTTTGGTAGTCATTTTTTTTAAAATATATTTCTCTCTTTCTTCTTTTCAAGCACACATTCTTTATTAAAATAATATTACACGTAAATCAAATTTTTTTTCTTATTTCTCAACCATACATTTCAAATTAATTTACTATTCTAAAATGTATTTTTACATAAAAATGTCTATTAAACATCCCCTAAGGTGTTTTTGGTTTTTAGTTCAAACATGAGTGGAGTGAAATATGAGAACCTATGTACTTGACCACAAATAATTATTTGATAACATTTGATTGATGCTCCAAGTTTAAACAAATTTCATATCTGATAATTAGTTCATCATTGTTATTTAGGACCCTTTCTCCACTTCAATTCAACTTGAAAGCAAATAACTAACACTTACCAAAACAGAGGAAACTGTCTGGAATTATATTTTTGATCTTTTTTTCTTTTATGCATAAGAGAGAGAATTCATTTACTTAAATATAAACAAGGCTACAAAGTATATATACTGCGAGACTACAATGTATATATTTTTGTATATATTTTTCCATAAAAATTACATGGCATTTCATTGTTAACTACGGACTTGGGCAATTATAAACCTGAATGTTGATTTCCAACGTTAAAACTAGTTAGCATAATTAAAAAAGTCAAAGTAATACAAAATGATCAAACAAAGTAGAAAGCAATCAGAAATATTGACAAATTCAAGTATCACAACAGAAACAACTTGATAAATTAGAAAACAGAATTTTACCTTATCAAGAGAACATTCATACTAACAAAGAAGAGAGTAATAAACCAAATTTGACAACGGAATGCCCTTTTATTAAAAGAACCTAAGACTGCATTCTTTTGACACATAACATGATAACACCCTCACTCCAACAAAGTCACCATTTACAAGAACCCATAATTTTCCAAAAATAATTTTAGAAGCCGGATGCAGGTTAGATACCTAACCCCCAAAATCACCATACACTCTTGAGATTAATCTTTCTATTCCTATAATCATCATCAACAAGATCAGTTGAATTAATTTTATCCTTACTCATGAAAAACAAGAGGCTTCAACGAGACTTCTAAACAAAATCATCATGAGAAACGTAAGATAAATTGAGATACAAACAAACTAATAAATTCAAATTATACATTTATTTCTTTTTCTTATGTGATGCTTAATAAGCCATTGTTTGAGTCTTATTCTTCTCAAAATTCTTTTTTTTCACAAAACTCATTTTCAACCACATATTCTTTAATAAAATAATATTACACGTAAACCCAAAATTTTTCCTTAATTTTTGACTACGCATTCTCCATCAATCACTAATTGAAGATGCATTCTTTCCCTTAAAATGTGGCTCAAATAAGTATCTCCATTCTTTTTATAGATTGAATTTTTATCTAGTGGGAGACGAAAATCTTGGATTGTTTCCTTATTCCTCTTATTTCTCTCAGAGGCCTAAGAGTACAAGTAAATGTATTTACCCAAAACTATAATAATTTAAATTCACATCAACAAAAATCCAAGTGATCATGTATCAAAGAGTATCTGCATTACATTCAATCTTCTATTTCCATGAATCCACAATTATATCATAATATACTCGGTAACATGTGAAATAAGAATAACCTGAAAGATTAATCATCCCTTCATCATTTCCAGCAAGTGCTCCAAATTTATTAAACCCAAAGCAAAGAAATGCATGCATAATTTTAGAATCACCTACTCAAATACATATTTTCATTTGAACCCAACTTTTGATAACATACTAAATTATGTATGACAGTGACAATATCCAACACATACATAACCTTTAGTTGAAAATTTATTAGTGTCAACTTCTATCTTCCTTATTGCAAACAATAAAATATAGGATCCAGATGATGATTGAGCTCCCAATTTGGTGAAAATTCTATTCTAAATTCCACAAATAAAATAAGCCATTTTTCGATTAGATAAGGAACATCAATAACGCTAGGGTAGTTTTCATCGTACCAAATCAATAAACAAGGAATATAACACCAAGTACTACACACTAATTTTACATTGCTTTAGCAATATTAGCTAAACAGTAAGAAAAATAAAAAATTTACAAAACCTACAAAATCCAAATTTCTCATAGAAAAAAAAAGCGCATACTTTGAATGCAGCATATGACCGTACTCGACAAATAATGTGCAAAATTTTAACATTTTTTAATCTTCCTTAAAACTATCGATTTTAATCCACATTAACAAACATATTGTAATTGAGCTAATTGACTAACGCAATGTTTGGCCATGCTTAAATGTGGCTCTTTTAGCTGCTTTTACGAGCCGACTTTTAAGCATGGCCAAACACGTGCCAAGAAGGGCATCACGTTTATCAGTAAGAATAGAAGATTTAGTCCACAAGCAGCTCAACTCACATCTTGTACAAATAATCCATATTATCAGGAATCCAAGTCCAACGTTTCACCAAAAGACTTACATAATTAATCTTCAAAATATTGCAAGGATATTGACCAATTTCTCGAAACGTTCTCGTGTTTTTCTCTGAATCGATCACAACCCACTTGAGAATTTCACTTCTTGTACACTTTAAACAAATCCTCAAACGAATCTGGGACTATGGATTTTGACGAAAGGTTTGTTAATAGTGATTTTTTGGGCGATAAGATTGCATAATTGACAGATAGGAACTCGATAAAATTCTTAGGATGAAAATTACTAAGTGTCAATCCCAACATTAGTTTAATTGAGAAAGTATTAATAGGGTTAATTGCACCATAAATTGGGAAATTTTTTTAGAATGTCTATCAATTCTTCTTTCTGTATCACTTGGGAGAGGAGAGATAGATTTTGTAATTTTCCTTTCTACAAATTATATAGTGAAACTCGTTGGTTGCAACTTACAATTTGCTAGCTGTTGGATTGGAATGAGCGACTTTTCGTTTCAGAAAGGTGGTGATGTTTAGCTAGGCTTAAAGAACTTTAATTATAAATAAACAAGTAAATTTAAAACTAAATAAATTTTTTATTTGTCAAAATTGGAAATTTTGGCTATCTTAGAATATACTTAAATATACTTTAAAATAATTTTTTTCATCTATTAAAGGAGAATTATGGAAAAATCATGCATACACAACAAAGGAATGTAAATGATAAAGATCGAGAAACAACCTAAAAATTCCAAATGACAAGCATAAAACCAGCTTATTAAAGTCAGCTAAATCAGTACTAAGTTAGTTAAAGAGGTAGGAAAAATAAGCAAAAAGAAACA